GTTGGACAATCTACTTTTGTAGTGATACTGCCTCGGAAACCCAAGGAGTGGTTGCTATGAGTCGGGTCCGATTGGATGGCACATAACCAAAACAACATTGTCTGTTATAAGGAGCTTGGGTGGTGCAGTGCCGAAGGCATTTGACTGCTAACCAGAAGGTTGGAATTAAAACCCACCAGCCATTCCATGGAAAGAAATGGACAATTTACTTCCATAACGATTTGCTATCTTTGGAAACCCAATGAGTGTCGCTATGAATTACAATGGACTCAATTGCAGTGGGTTTGTGGGGTTTTTTTTATTATTATTATTTTTCTTGGTTATTGTCTACTACATATCTATATTCACAGTAACCATTTAATTTTCAATTTCTTTGTCTTTCACAGTGTGTAGATTGTTGGTCTATGTATTTCATCTTCACATAGTTTGGTATATAACTCATTTCTGTTTTAGGATATGATTCTAAAGTTCATTCTATTTTTATATTTTTTCTTTCAATGTGTGGGATGTCTCCATGGCTTTATGCGTTTGTTTCTATATAACAAATCAACCTGTCATATTTTTGCATTATTTTATCTGTTATTTCGCTACGTATTTACAGTCTCTGAATGCTTAAATTTTAATCAATGTTTGCTATTTTCCCATGGTTATGGTATCCTGTTTTCTTCCCACAGGAATGAAATAGGAATGAACAAGATAGACATTTTACAACTAAGAAGTCATGATAGGGACAAATATTAGCAATCCAGCATATTTTATTTTACTTGGCTTTTCTGACAAGCCCCAGCTGGAGATAGTTCTCCTTCTGGTCATTTCTATAATATACATTCTGACATTGATGGGGAATACAACAATCATAATGGTCTCATATTTGAACCCCAAACTCCACACACCCATGTACTTCTTCCTCTCTAATCTCTCCTTCCTGGACCTCTGTTTCACTACCAGTATTGTCCCACAGATGCTTTGGAATCTCAAAGGCCCTGAGAAGACCATTAGCTACACTGGTTGTATGATCCAGCTATTCATTGCTTTGGGGCTGGGCTCCACGGAGTGCATTCTCCTTGCTGTTATGGCCTACGACCGATACAATGCCATCTGTCGACCCCTCCACTATGGCATTATTATGAACCCAAAACTTCTTCAGCAACTAGCAGCTGTGGCCTGGATCAGTGGTTTTGTGGCGTCCGCACTTCAGACCATCCTTATTTTCCAACTACCTCTCTGCAGCCACCACAGGCTGGATGATTTTATGTGTGAGGAGCCAGCCCTCATTAAAATTGCCTGTGTGGACACAACCTTCCTGGAAAGTAAGCTCTCCATAGCTAGTGTCCTCTTTGTGATTATAACTCTGGGACTTATTTTGGTCTCCTATGGCTGCATTGTAAGGAGTGTGCTGAGGGTAAAATCAGCTGAAGGTAGAAGTAAAGCCTTTGGGACCTGTGGGTCTCAC